GGGTGCTTTGTAGAACATTCTGAACCTAGGAATTTGTTTTCAATGCTGGGACTGAACTCATAATCCTTTCCACATAGAGGTCCTTTCTTCATTTCAGCATTCAGGTGGGGAAGGTTGTTTTGCTCTGGCATTTTTGTTGTTGTTTCATTTATGAATTGCTTCCCATGAAACATCTGAAGCAACTAACAATAAAAACATCAGCAGTAAAAACATACAAAAATCATTTCAGATCAAGTATCAGTGCAGCCTGTATCCCACCTGCAAAACACCAAGCATCAAGAACTGCCTTAGATGGTCATTGAAACTGTTAGCTCCTTAATGGCCTTGATTCATTCACAAAGATCCATTCATCACTAATCACAACTGCCCTGTGATAAACCAAAAGTTTTAAAAGACTGTGGGGCAATTGTACCAGGGGTGGGGACTCTCAGGTGTCTCTGGCCCTCAGGATTCTTCCTCTGCTTTGTGCCCTCTTATGAGTGCTTTTATCTGGCTGAAATGTGTCCTTGAACTGTGTTAAGATGGCTCCCCTTTTCAGCAATGGCAGGCGGAGATCCGGGACCTCGCAGTGACCCAGGAGTGGGTGGAGGGAGTCATTAGGACTCCCAGTCATGTCACGCCTCCCAGCTGACCAATCGCGTGGCCACATGCTGTTTAAACTGCAGCACAGCTGGGAGGGGGCAGCCTCCATTCATCTCCCAGCCCGCCCACCCTCTTTTCTTTGCTATGACTAATGTTGGTTGCCTGGTTGTTGGGGCCGGGTAGGAATTTTTCCACTTGGCAAACTGGCACCATCCATTTGGTTTTCGCCTACCTAGTAGCAATCGTCACAACTTTGTAAGGTTAGGCATTGGGTAAGCCTTGCTATGGGAGGGGAGGTTGTTGCCTCCATCTGCCCCTCCATGCTAAGAGTATCCCGTTAAAGGGATCCGGGGGTGTGGTTCCTGTCCGAAGCCTGGGCGTTGGCTGGGGCCATGCCATGACCCCTTCCATGACCCTGGGGGAGCTCTTAATTGATGTATATCATAGGACTCCCCCTATCAGTGGTTGACCCTTTGAGACTTCCTGTAGATGTGCAGGAGACAGGATATAGTCTTGCTTCATCCACTTGCCTAAGCCAAACCACTCATATCTGTAACCAATAAAGTTGGGCCTAATTTTTCCCATTAACCCAACATATTCGTGTCTGTGTGTTTATTTCTGAGGGAACTGCGGGGTTCGGGGCCTCACCACGCAATGCTTCTTGCTTGCCTGGACAGAGGATATAGAGCTGTGAGGCTACTGATAAAAACCTCTGTCCTTTAAGGTACTTAGGTAAGAATTTGCCTGTTGCTCCAATCACTTCTTTTTCTGCCCCCACCCACTGCTGGCAAGCAGCCTCCTGAAGGCTGTCAATGAGGGGAATGTGGCCCTCAGACTGCAAAATGTTCCCCACCCCCTGAGCAATACTTCCTTGTTGAGCAAAGTGCAATGGAGGTGTTCTTCTCATCCCTTCATAAGGTCTTACAAGCATGACTGATGACACAAAGTGGTCATCACGACAAGTAGGCCTTTTGGTTTCTGGAGGTGTACTAAACTATTGCGTTTTTAATCAGGTAAATGCACTCCGTTAGAGAGGCCTTTGGGCTGAAGGAAATTTGTCTGTGTGGTGTTGCTGTTTTAAATATAAGATGAAGTTAGACGAGGGTAATAGTAAAACTCCTAAGCAAGAGGAATTTTTTTAACAGTTTCTGAAATATGCTTACATGCAGTCTTTCCACTAACAGGCCACTGTTTGAAATTGCAGTTTATATTTCAATAAGACACAATGCAAAAAGGAGAATGGTTGGAACTGGAAAAGGGAACTGAGCACATTAAGGTTCTGTGACCTCTGAAGGAGATAATTCTGAGAGGGGAGGAGCCAGATGCCAGGTAGTCCAAGCCAGGCAGATGCTTTAATTTGTTGGAAGCTGCCCAGACTGGGGCAACCCAGTCAGATGGGCAGCATATAAATTACAAATTGTTGTTCTTGTCGTTGGATGTTGCTGTCTCACCTCTCCTAGCTTGGTGGTGTGGGACCTTAACAGTTCTGGGAGAGGAGGAGCCATGAGTTGGTTAGACCAGGCCAATGGAGGGCCTCATATCGTGGGGCTTCCAGCTACCCCAAAACATATTGAAAGCAGGAGGGACACAGGACACACAGACAAGTCTGACTACCTGTTAATGCCCCGCCCTGGCCACCTGGTTGGCCAACATGTGAAGGAGCTCCAGACATATCAAGGTGTATATATGTTCGTCTTGCAACAGGAGACCATGATCTGACCAGGGAGTTCCATAGTTCAACTTTCCTCGGGTTAAATACAGACTAGTTATGGAGATATCATGACTCAGCTTCCCCATTTGGGGCAGAGTTTGCTGAGTTAGAGATTGCTGGCATTTACCTAGACAGGGCTCAGGTGGAGCAGGGCAGCACTGAGATGGAGGCTGCAAGGATGCACTGGCAGAAATGGTGAATTAGCTCTGCAGATGCATCCACTCAGGTGCCCTGCCCAAGTGTCATCAAGGTAAGGTGCAGCAACACCAGTTTGGGAAGGCACCTGTGGAAAACAATATTTTCCTATGAGCGTCTCAACAATCATTTTCATGGTGAAGATCACAACTGGCGGCGCCATCAGGTTACATGGCCCAGGCTTGTTCAACCAGCTTGAAGACCCTCATATTAATTCCATGCCCATTCCATGTATGACAGGTGTTCTTGCTTTAATTTTTTTTGCAGCAGAGCTTAACATTTTGAAAATCCATACCTTGACATCATAGATCAAATATTTAAGTATACATACCAGAGATCTTTGTATGCCAGAATGTGTGAGACTGTGCTGTAGATAATAAGTGAAGAGTCTTGCAATTGTGGAAATTTCCTTCCCCTACAAAGGGTGGGTGGGGGACAATAGTCACCAAATCTTCTTGAAAGCTAGACAGGAGAGATAACTTGCCCCAGCAGAAGCCATCAGGTGGACTCCTCCAGAGCTCCTGGTGGCCCTTTCAAATGCAAATGCGGCTGTTTCTTTGTAAAAAAGCAACGCAAACCACCCATTCAGTGTCATTGAAATTTATTGCGAAATATTTTATGCTGTTAATTAGGTACTAATGATGGATGGGGGAAGAACATTTCCCGGCTATTAAGTCAAACCTTCTGACCTTTCAGGTCAGTATCGGTCACTGGGAAATTACTGTTTTTAAAAAAGGGGATGAGTTAAAAGGAAAAGAAAGACATTACCTTTTAAGGTTTTTGAACCTTGCCCATGCTTTTAGTTGCAAAATCAGTCACCCTTTGCAGAAACTGCAGACCTACTGCTCACTGTAAGAAGCCGCCCAGGTTTTTCTTTTTGCATGCCTACTGTTTAGAAAAGCAAGACGCAGTGTTCTGCTATGATGACATATAATCCGTCATTGTTTTCATGGCAGATTCTGTCTGTGGAATAATCAAACTAAGGAATTTCTGCACTGCAGGAGATTGGACTAGATGACCCCCATGGTCCCTTCCAGCTCTACAGTTCTATGAACCATAGAGAACACCTTTGTTACTTTTTTGGTTGGACTTAATAAAGGTATTGCCATACTGTGGATTTTGGGTTTCTATGATGGATCAATAGAGCTACATCTCTCGCTGTGTGCAACCTGTTTGAGAAGGCAATTGCACCTCAGTTGTTTCTGAAGTGGGGCATTTGGCTTCCTTTCCTGGGATGGGGTTGGGAGGAGTGGAAAGAACTAGCAAGGGAAGGAGAGAAAGGAATGCAGCTACCTGGTCTTTCTGCAAATCGGGCTGCAAAGGTAAAATGGGCAGGCCAGTTTAAGATAACTCCCATGGAAGGCAAAGGGAGATCAGGAAATTGTGGTCAGGTCACCTCCATACAGTTGTCATTTTGCAGGAGCGATTTGGGCAGAAGCCTTGCCTAAGGTGGTTGTGGAAGCCCAAGCCCAAGTAATAGTAAATAAATAAATGCCATTTGTGAATTTCTTCCCACTGAGCATCCCAAAACGATTTACATAACATACATAAAATAGATTCCTGCATCGCAGGGGGTGGGACTAGATGACACCCCGATGGACGCGGGTGGTGCTGTGGTCTAAACCACAGAGCCTAGGGCTTGCCGCTGGGAAGGTCAGTGGTTCGATTCCCTGCGACGGGGTGAGCTCCTGTTGTTCGGTCCCAGCTTCTGCTGACCTAGCAGTTTGAAAGCACGTCAAAGTGCAAGTAGATAAATAGGTACTGCTCTGGTGGGAAGGTAAATGGTGTTTCTGTGCACTGCTCTGGTTCGCCAAAAGCGGCTTAGTCATGCTGGCCACATGGCCCAGAAGCTTTCTGCGGACAAACGCTGGCTCCCTTGGCCAATAGAGCGAGATGAGCATACAGCCCCAGAGTCGTCCGCGACTGGACCTAATGGTCAGGGGTACCTTTACCATTTATGGTCCCTTCCAACTCTTCAATTTCATGATTCTATGAATTTAAGAAAATACGTAATTGTTAATATTGAAAATATTTTTAAACAATAACACATAAAATCAATTCAAATTCATGACGGATACCCACTGGGATAAAAATTTTAGAAGGCTTGTTGAAAGAGGAATGTTTTTAGCTGGAAATACAATAGGGAAGGCACTGGTCTGATATGCTTTTGCCAAGGTGATGGCAAAGCAGTTGGGTCCTGTGTGGTGTAGCCAGTGTGGTGTAGTGGTTAAGAGCAGTGGACTCGTAATCTGGGGAACCGGGTTCGCGTCTCCGCTCCTCCACATGCAGCTGCTGGGTGACCTTGGGCCAGTCACACTTCTCTGAAGTCTCTCAGCCCCACTCACCTCACAGAGTGTTTGTTGTGGGGAGGAAGGGAAAGGAGAATGTTAGCCGCTTTGAGACTCCTTCGGGTAGTGATAAAGCAGGATATCAAATCCAAACTCTTCTTCTTCTTCTTCTTCTTCTTCTTCTTCTTCTTCTTCTTCTTCTTCTGGGATTCCCACAGGTATCTGGTTGGAGTAGCTCAGTTGGTAGAACATGAGACTCTTAATCTCAGTGTCCTGGGTTCAAGATTCCTGCATTGTCGGGGGCTGGACTAGATACCCCTTGTGGTCCCTTCCAACTCTACAATTCTATGATTCTCTGATCACTGTGGGAACAGGATGCTGGACTAGATGGACCTCTGGCCTGACCCAGAAGAGCTTTTCCTGCGATGAGGTGACCAATCACTCTTGATTCTTATTCTGCTTTAAGGTGTACATCTGAAATTCCTAATGATCTATCAGTGTTGAAAGCTAGTTGAAGCCTCCATGCTCAGGAAGAGTTTACCTGTACCAGTTTCCGAGGACAAACAATAGATGAAGGCAATCACCTGCATGTGATCTTCCCAGAGGCATTTGGCTGACCATTGTTGGAAACCATCCTGGACCTGGTGGACCTTTTGCCTAATCCAGCTGAGAAAATGTGCATTAAATCACTTTTGTATTGCCACAGTGTAACCAAGCTGTCAACTTGCTGAAAAAAAGAGGTCAGAGGTCCAACCTGTTGACTTACTTGTTTGAAAAAGAACCTTCCCCCACAAATTCTTTGCACATAGCTTCAGATTTTTATTTTTTTTACTGTCACTGTAGCAAGCGCTGTCTCCCCAGCTGCAAGTTTTATGATGCGGCTGTTTGGAAGGAAATATTGCAAGAATGAGATCTCTGCGAGATCTGGAGTTGCCGTAAACATTGCTTACAAGTTCTGGATATTGTTTTGTTCTCCTTCTGCTTAGGTAACAATCCGGGGAAAGGTAAGGGAGGTGAGCTGATACCATTTCCAGTTGCCGCAATTTCTGCCGATGACAGTAGATAGAAGTATGCAGGGTTCCACGTCACGCAAAAATCTGGGTTGTAATGGAAAGCAAGGGATCCGCTCACATTTCAGAGTAGGGTGCAATTTTTGCTTGTTTCCGAAAAATACGTTTTCACTGTTTCTACAATTTTTTCTGCGTGCCTCCCCGAGAGAGGCAAATTAACTACAAACTCCATAATTTGAATTCCCCTCAAAACCTGTGCCAAAGTTTTGCAGTTGTTTTGCAGCAAAAAACCCCACACACTTTGCAGCACCACACAAACTGAGTCCTTGATACATGAAACACGGGGTCTGCACTTAACATGAACTGTGAAACCCAACATTTGGAATCCCCTCCGAACCTGTGCCAAACCTGTGTTTTGCAGCCTTTCACTGAAGGGTGGAATAGACATTTGGGGGCTTCGCATTTATCCTGCAACATATTTGCTGTGGGAAAAGCCATGCACAAACGGTGACTGAAAGGCACACATCCCAGATATAGGCATGCATGCACACCCAGCCATTCACAGGAGCCGCTGATAGGAAAGTATCTACCTGAGGAGTGTACATGGGCATTTAGTCATGCCTTACCTTACTATCATACCTTACACGTTTGCTGTGGGAAACTGCTCTCTCTCTTAACCTACCATCTTCATAAAGTTCTTGTCGCTGGGAAGATAAGGTGGCATGAACCAATACACATGGTCACCTCTCCCGTTATAGGATGTGCTAAGCAGCGGATGTGGAAAATTACATATTTTGCTTCAACATATATCTGGACTGCATTGTGGTTTTGTTTTGGTGGTTCCCTCACTGCGAGAAGCCAAGTTACAGGGAACCAGGTAGAGGGCCTTCTTGGTAGTGGCACTCGCCCTGTGGAACGCCCTCCCACCAGATGTCAAAGAGAAGAACAACTACCAGACAGTTAGAAGACATCTGAAGGCAGCCCTGTTTAGGGAGGCTTTTAATGTTTGATGCATTACTGTATTTTAATATTTTGTTTAAAGCCGCCCAGAGTGGCCGGGGAAGCCCAGCCAGATGGGCAGGGTATAAATAAATTATTATTATTATTATTATTATTATTATTATTATTATTATTATTAAAAATCTCAAGTTGATTCACAACAGTAAAATAAAAACACAATAAAAATAAAAACACACCAGAGCAAAGCATGAGAAGCTGCTATGAATGGCTAGCTGATCGGCTTTTTGCAATGTGTAGATATGAGTCTCCAGCCTCTGCCCTTTGTGGGCTTCTCAGAGGCAGTTGATTGGCCCCTGGGAGAAACAGGATGCTGGGCTAGATGGGTTTGTGGTCTGATCAAACATAAGAACATAAGAATAACTGCTGGATCAAGCCAATGGTCCATCTAATCCAGCCTCCTGTTCTCACAGGGACCAACCAGAGAGCCAGTGTGGTGTAGTGATTAAGAGCGATAGACTCGTAATCTGGTGAACTGGGTTCTCTTCCCCGCTCCTCCACATGCAGCTGCTGGGTGACCTTGGGCTAGTCACACTTCTCTGAAGTCTCTTAGCCCCACTCATCTCACAGAGTGTTTGTTGTGGGGGAGGAAGGGAAAGGAGAATGTTAGCCACTTTGAGACCCCTTCGGGTAGTGATAAAGCGGGATATCAAATCCAAACTATATACCAACCAGATGCCTTGTGGGAAACTCACAAACAGGACCTGAGCAGAAGAGCAACTCTCCCCTCCTATGGTTTCCAGCAACTGATATTCTTGGCTCTTCTTGTGCCCTTATCAGCTCCAACCAATAATGCTTAGCATTTATGCAACATATTTCAAGCATTTCAAGGTGCTTCACCTATATGATCGCAGCAATTCTCACAACAGACCAGTACGCCACTGTTATCTCTTAACCAAGACTCCAGACAGAGACCTTTAGGTGACAACAGCACCCTCAAATGCTCTCCCTTCCAATCACTCCTACTCTTGTTGTTCATCCATCTCAACTTGCCTGTTGTTGCAAGCAAATATGAAGGTGTGGCATACCGTAGGGACATTGGTGTGTGTGTGTGTGTGTGTGTAAACAACGGGATGAGTATGGGGAGGGACCCTGGCTGCCTCACCTCCCATTGCCTCAGAAGATTTAAAGGTATCAGAGGTGGCAGCTGCATTTTTGAGTGGCCTTGGACCAGTCGCTCTCAGGCTAGCCCACTTCATAGGGTTGTTGTGCTGATAAAATGGAAAGGAAGAACCCTGTGCACTGCCATGAATTCTATGGAGGAATGGCAGAACATGGATTTCATTAAATAGATGCATACATTTTATCCTCATACTACAGGTGTGTTTGGGGGGGTGTTATTGGGTTGTTTTTGCTTTGTGTTTTGTGGTATTATACTCTAATTTTATCCTGTGAACTGCCCTGAGACCTGCAGGTATAGGGCGGTATACAAATTTAATAACTAATAATAACTAATAATAATTACAGGTGAAGGCAGAGGAGATTGAGGTCAGATGAACAGGGCCTTGTCTAAGCCTTGTAGAAGCTCAAGTTTGATCAATTCTTACTACATCACTACACTACAGGAAAGTGTGAAAATTGCTCCTTTATTTTGGATAAGGGTCATAGCTCCCTGGCAGAGTACATGATTTGCATACAGAAGGTATCAGGTTGAGTCTAAGTAGGGCGGGAAAAGACCCTACCATAAATCCTGAAGAGCTGCTTTCTAGTCAGCAGACATGTTGCTGAGCTAGATCACCACAGGCTCACTTGGAATAAAGCAATTTCCTATGCTTTGTACTCCAGAGGAACAAAAAAAAAAACCACCCCAAAAATGTCACTCAAACACCTTCTTTTCAGGGCTGTTCAAAGCCACCATTAGAACAGGACATGAGTGAGCTTTCTGGTACTAAGAGAAATTTATGTTTCTCAACATGTTGCTGGGAAATTGCCAAAGATGTGCATCTCCATGATGTCCAGATACTCAGACGCAATACATATGACCAACACACTGGACAGGGAAGGATGACCCCAGGAGTGTGTATAATAAACCAGCAAAACATTCTTTATTTATTGCCAGCATTACAGGAGAATGGGACTCCCAGGTGTTGCCCCATCCAAGCACTGCTCTAGTCCAGACCTTCTTAACATTCATCACGGTTAGTGCATCATGTTCTTTCATATAATGGCCCAGACCCATGATACATTTATTTACAGGCAACTCCCATGTTCAAAGTGTTAGGCTAGCTGTTTTTAACATTTAACGTGTGTGTGTGTGTGTGTGTGTGTGTGTGTGGCAATATATAAGTCTTGTAAAATAAAATATAATAATAAAATAAAATAAAATAATAAAAATCTAGTTACAACATTCAGATAGCAGGCGATGATAAAGACCTGTACCTGTACCCGCCAAATGGGTGGGGTATAAATAATAAAATTATTCTTATTATTATTACCTGGGGCCCTGAAGAACCCATGCCAGAGTAGAAAATGGTTGCATTCACACTATACGGTGGTACCTCAGGTTACATACTCTTCAGGTTACATACGCGTCAGGTTACAGACTCCGCTAACCCAGAAATAGTGCTTCAGGTTAAGAACTTTGCTTCAGGATAAGAACAGAAATTGTGCTCTGGCGGCGCGGCAGCAGCAGCAGGAGGCCCCATTAACTAAAGTGGTGCTTCAAGTTAAGAACAGTTTCAGGTTAAGAACAGACCTCCAGAATGAATTAAGTACTTAACCCGAGGTACCACTGTACCTCCGGTTACAAACTTAATTCCTTCCGGAGGTCCGTTCTTAACCCGAAACCGTTCTTAACAAGAGGTGTGCTTTCATTAATGGGGTCTCCCACTGCCACCATGCCACCGGCGCACAACTTCCACTCTCATCCCAGGGCAAAGTTCGCAACCAGGAACATCCATTTCCGGGTTAGTGGAGCTCGTTACCCAAAGCGTTCGTAAGGAGGACGGTATGTAAGCTGAGGTTCCCCTGTACATTTAAAGCATATGGCTGCCCCCAAGGAATCCTGGGAAAAGTGGTTTGCTAAGGATGCTGCGAATTTTAGCTCTGAGGAGGGTAATCCAGAAACTTTTTACAGCTTGCCCATCATAAGGGCTGATGCTGCATAAGTCTTCTATTCACTTATGTGCCTGGAAAGGTCTTTAAGTTTGGGCCAGTACATATCTGCCTGTTCGTCCATTCCCAACTATCCTTGTTTATCCTGACCACATTGCGCAATTATCTCACATCACACATTGTCAGACCATTTTTATTTGGCCCTGCTTGAAGCAAAA